TTCCGTCCAAAATCGTACTCAATTTCAGGAACATCCAAAGCTGTACTTGAAGGAATGGAGCAGACCCATCAAACCCAGAGGAGAATTTCTAATCAAGTTCCCTGATACCGACAGAAATTTAAGGTCGCTCATGTTGCCGATGGTGGACGGAATGGACCCAATCAAAGTGATGAAGGATAGAGACCTGATGGTACATACACGTAAAGTGATCCATACAAGGAAAGAGAGAGATATAGTTAAGGGAGAGGGGAGTGGAATCGGGGTCTGAAAAAATCATGACATGCCAACGTGCAATCATGGCGCACTTTTTATTAGTCAAAGTGTCGACTGAGTATGGCAAAAAGGCACGATGAGAGTCGTAGTAGCATGAATACAACTGCAAATTGTAGGTACATCTTGAACCCGTGAGGTATGTGCACATGCCACTCATGGATCATATGCTCGCACTCATCTTTCGAAGTCACTCATATCTGCCCAAATTAACTCGTCACTCATTTCTGCATTCTAAGACTCTCTTTAGCATTCCACTCTTGACAATCTGGTCACGGACAGGCCACGAGCTTGTGGTTCCATCGCCTAGACTGCATTACCAGGGTCACTGGTGGTAATATTTTACGGAACGGTAAAATGCATCACTGTGAGTTCATCCATTTTCTCTCCATTCTCGCTTCTCTGCTGTCAAAGAAGAGCTTGCTATATCCGGGGGACTTAATGGACTTAAATCTTGTTTGCGACTGATTTTGTACTTCAACACTACAAGAAATTCTACTCGAAACCCTGGTTCACCAAGAAGCTGGCAGGGCCATCCTTCGGCTCGTGACAAGCCGGCCACTAATCGGTCAATGTAAGATGAGATGATGGCCACCACCGGCTCATCATGAGCTGGTCACTCGTAGGCCATTGCTCATGCCTTGCTCATGCTCATCTACACACATGCACATCCGCATATGCTCAAATTGTTGTGCATGGTCCCAACCAGTTTTACTGATACTCACAAATAGCTCAGGCTGCCCAAGGCACTGATGGAATCTGGAAGATTTCCACTTAAGTCTTCGTTGAACAGCAAGCTGGCGTGCAGAAAAGAAACCTGTAATGGGAGAAACGGAGAGATCGAATTCACGGATGTGGGATCATGAGACATGGATGCAGCCCCTCCGTTGTCCACCTGTGCTTACATGCATGGAGATAGTAGCAACCTGAGAGGAGCGCTAGAGTTGGTGATTTGCAGCACAAAATACTTTTCAGTGTCAGCCACGCAAGGTAGATGGAGAGAAACGAACGGAGGTAGGGGGAGAGAAGCGGAAAAGGGGGGTGACAACATTGATGCCTGATTTCAGGTTCAAATGTGTACGTTCAGTTTCTACACTCTCAAATGGATGTTTTGCAACAACTGCCATATCTAGCAGCTGCAACAACTGCCATATCTCCCTGCATGCCAGATAATGCTCTGGCCTGCACACGATAAAAGCTAGTAGAAATGTGCCTGCTTTCTCCCACCCGTATATTACATTTCTCCTATTAGTTGAACTAATTATCAATGAAAACGGAGTCAGGAATTTGTTCAAACTCTTATTTGTGTGAATCTCGTTACCTTACATTAACTACGTAACCTTCGACATGCATAAAAAACATTGCGGACCATTCACTTGCTGGCTTGCATTTGGGTTCCTTCCAATTTTTTGCCTGGGAGATATGCCGTCCGCTGCACTTGCATTGCAGTGTCAGCGAATAGTGCTCTTTATAAGCGTGTAAATACAGAGTACACATATTGAGGGAATGGGAGAGAACAGGCACCCAATGCAAGATCAGCAAGAGTTTGGTGCTCACATGTCAGTCACCATGCCTTGAGCATCGCACTCCACGTTGTACGCCAAGCTGCAGTCCCCCCCAGCCACCCACCCAGGGAAATTCCGCCCCCATGCTTGCTGGAGGTCTCGCAGGACTTGCACTGGCGGCAGAGGGTGGGTGAGCGGAGAGCAGGAGCAAGAGAAGGATAGAAGGAGGAGGTGGGGCAGGAACAGGGTAAGGATTACGCATTAACTGTGTGTAATAGTACTTCGCTTCCTTTCCTCACCATCAGTCTGCCACTGCAATACGTCATGCAAGGTAAGAGACTGTGATTTCCTTAATCCAAGCCGCTACTACAAGATTGTCAAACATCGTCCGCTATGGTGCCACTAGGGCTGATAAATTCTCGTTCCCATTGTTTCATAAGCCGCAAGTACTAGTTACGATAGTAGTAGTTCCTGCAGAGAGAAGAAACGCGGTGGAGTCTGGCCGCACACTGCAGAAATTAGAATATACCAGGGGTATATGTGTAACAGGATGGAATTCACCATGCGAGATGCATAGGAATTTCCGAACGGGACTTGCCTAGCTGCCTACGTACTGCACCACTTGCTAGCCTAGGACGTACTCCCGTATCCCTGTCAGGAAGAATAGTACAGCAAGGCATGGCATCGAGGCGCAATGCCAAGATGCCATGCTAGATGAAGTGGCGACGCGGTTTTCCTCCCAAGTTGCCATCCTTTCTTCCTAGCATAAATATTAATATCTGAATCTTGTATTATCATCTCACTGGAATCTACTTTCTACTTCTTGATCTCTCAAGTACGTCTCCAGAGCTGGGCTTCTCGCACTAGCCTAGCTTCTCTCCCTTCCGCTGCAACCGTCAGCCCCCGGATAGAAGCGCCCCTGGGGGTATAAAAAAACACTGTTTTTTTGGGGGGTGCGCTTATAATTGAGGAATTTTATAAGCACCGGTGCTTATAAAATGGCAAAAAGAATATATATTTGTTTTACACCAAACTGTATATCTCGTTCTGCCGATTGTAATCGAGTCAAAAACATATAGGGTCGCGAATCTGATTCTCGCGCAGCTTGGCAGGGAGTGATTCCCTGCCAGCTCACCCTGACAAAATTACAGCACATGCTGACTAGACGCGCAAAAAGTGAGTTCAGAGTGTGGGAAATCGAAATTGTAGTTCGTTTCCCTGATTAGTTTCTGAAATTTGAAAGGTTTTCAAATGAAAAACAAACATGCGCTTATAATATATCATCTTTTTCTAGGGGGTGCGCTTATAATCGAGGACCGGATATAAGCGCCCTCATCCTTTTATAAGCGCCGGCGCTTATCCGAGGCCTGCGCTTCTATCCGGGGGCTTACGGGACGTTCTTCTTTATCATTCTTAGCTACGGCACCGCTCTCTCCTCGCCAGGCCGGCCAGGCCAGCCGCGCCGTGCGCGGCAGCGCCGTAGCCTTGTTTCAATATGAAACAAGAAAGGACGTTGTAGGGAGAGAATTAGGAGCCAACTGCCAGTGCAAGGACGAAACCTTGGGAGGTGGCGAAGGGGACACAGCGGACTGAAGGAACCACGACGAGACAAATCAGAAGGATAAGTGAGCCGAGCCGAGCACCGTCCGTTTCCATCGTGGTGTGCCAGCTTCCAGGAAAACCCAGGTAGTGATAGTAGCTTTTCTCTCTGTGCGTTCAACGCGCAATTCTTGCAGTACTACAGAAAATCAACCGAAGCACATCGTTTGATCTATTGGTGAGGCTTTTGAACCACATCACCAAAATGTAACTGACCCCCAAGTGCCTTTTAGGCAACATTTGGGTCACATTGCGTCCTGACCCGGAAGTCACTTTTGGGACTGTCACTTTAGGCTCCCTTGAGGCCACGTACGGGTAACATCAGGGTCTCATTTGGGTCAATTACAGGTCAGCTAAGGGTCACATTTGGCTCCCTGGGTCACATTGATCCCAGACTAATCCGTCCCACAACTGACTTCGGGGTCACCTTCTGGGCATATTAGGGTCATTCTGTGGTCACATTGTATGCTTAAAGCCACGCCAAAATCTCCGCTATAGCATGTGCATTAAATGTGTACAACGCTACCATTTTATAAAACCATGTTTCAATCTTATCAAAATCAGGTTTCCAACAAAAATCAAAAGATCAAGATCATGTTCGCCACAAAAGTTCCCAAACATTCTACACACACACACACCTAAAAAAGCCCACCTCCAAGAGAGCCACACCACACCACAACAGCCGAACTGCAAATACAGTTTGGCTACAAAAGAAACAAGTTAGCATGATGGTGCTTTGTACATTTGCCCCAGTATAGATAGATATCACACACGGCTAAAATAACCTGACAACACAAAACCAACAAACACACATTAAAGCCCGCATGCAAAATAGTGACCCCCCCCTTCTAGTTGGGGCCACTTGAATTTCAGGGACAGCTGTGTGTTGCAAAAAAAAACAATATGTGAGCTCCCGAGCGAGTAAAACTCTCCAGGAGGGTGCGAGAATTTTTGTACAGCAAATCACGAAGGTGTACACCCAGTCCAGCGACCCTCACAACGTCGCTCAGTATCGCCAAGCAACCCAAGGCACGATTTGGATCAGTGAGGGGCAATTTGTGTAACAAGCACCTCAAAACCAGTTCCTGCGTAGAACATCGCTGTCACGCAACACGCCCTCAGCTCAAGTACAAGCTGAGGAACCAATTACTACTCATCTCGACAGCCCAATTGGCCATGCCGCATCTAGTCGCGACCTAACCGTTCGCATACTATTCGACGTACGCCACTTGCGGCTGTGTAGAAAACGATGGCGCGGCCGTGAGGTAAACTTTTAGCGCGCCTCACTCGGGCAATCTGCCATCCACACTCGACCAATCCGCCTAGGGTTTCAAGAAGGCATTTCGCCCGGCTGAACTCGGCCTTACTAGATATCGCCGCCCCTGTCGACCTTACAGCAGGGGGCCTGCGCACGACTGACTAGTTTCATCGCCAACGCTCGACATCACAACGCTTTTCCCGCACCAACCAGGCAAAACATCCACATTCGCCCCACTAGCTAGCACTCAATCACGTCTTAGATACCCGTTATAACCGCACGATGGTGCCGCCTGTTCCCCATTTCGCAAAGTCCATGTTGCAACCTCACCATCACGCACATCCCCATCATGCCTACCCCTTCGCACCATGACCAACTTCCCGCCGTGCCTCACCTTGCTTCCGCGGGTGCCCACGCTGCTTCCCCCGGCTCATCACCTCGCTTCCCCCCGTTCCCGACCTTCTTTCCCCCTGGTCCGCACCTTCCTTCCCCCCATTCTCCACCTTCCTTCGCCCCATTCCCCACCTCGCTTCCCCCCATTCCCCACCTCGCTTCCCCCCATTCCCCTCCTTGTTTCCCCCTGGTCCGCACCATCCGCCCCCCTGTTCCCCACCTTCCTTCCCCCCATTCCTCACCATCCTTCCCCCTCTTCCCCACCATCCTTCCCCCACTTCCCCACCTTCCTTCCCCCCATTCCCCACCTTGTTTCCCCCTGGTCCGCACCATCCTCCCCCTTGTTCCCCACCTTCCTTCTCCCCATTCCTCACCATCCTTCCCCCTCTTCCCCACCATCCTTCCCTCATTTCCCCACCTTCCTCCCCCCCATTCCTCACCTTCCTTTCCCCCATTCCCGACCTTCCTTCGCCCCATTCCCCACCTCGCTTCCCCCCATTCCCCACCTCGCTTCCCCCCATTCCCCACCTCGCTTCCCCCCATTCCCCACCTCGCTTCCCCCCATTCCCCACCTCGCTTCCCCCCATTCCCCACCTCGCTTCCCCCCATTCCCCACCTTGTTTCCCCCTGGTCCGCACCATCCTCCCCCCTGTTCCCCACCTTCCTTCCCCCCATTCCTCACCATCCTTCCCCCTCTTCCCCACCATCCTTCCCCCACTTCCCCACCTTCCTTCCCGCCATTCCTCACCTTCCTTCCCCCCGTTCCCAACCTGGATTCCCCCCATTCTCCACCTTCCTTCCCCCCATTCCCCACCTCGCTTCCCCCCATTCCCCACCTCGCTTCCCCCCATTCCCCACCTTGTTTCCCCCTGGTCCGCACCATCCTCCCCCCTGTTCCCCACCTTCCTTCTCCCCATTCCTCACCATCCTTCCCCCTCTTCCTCACCATCCTTCCCTCATTTCCCCACCTTCCTCCCCCCAATTCCTCACCTTCCTTTCCCCCATTCCCGACCTTCCTTCGCCCCATTCCCCACCTCGCTTCCCCCCATTCCCCACCTCGCTTCCCCCCATTCCCCACCTCGCTTCCCCCCATTCCCCACCTCGCTTCCCCCCATTCCCCACCTTGTTTCCCCCTGGTCCGCACCATCCTCCCCCTTGTTCCCCACCTTTCTTCTCCCCATTCCTCACCATCCTTCCCCCTCTTCCCCACCATCCTTCCTTCATTTCCCCACCTTCCTCCCCCCCATTCCTCACCTTCCTTCCCCCCATTCCCGACCTTCCTTCGCCCCATTCCCCACCTCGCTTCCCCCCATTCCCCACCTCGCTTCCCCCCATTCCCCACCTTGTTTCCCCCTGGTCCGCACCATCCTCCCCCCTGTTCCCCACCTTCCTTCCCCCCATTCCTCACCAGCCTTCCCCCTCTTCCCCACCATCCTTCCCCCACTTCCCCACCTTCCTTCCCGCCATTCCTCACCTTCCTTCCCCCCGTTCCCAACCTGGATTCCCCCCATTCTCCACCTTCCTTCCCCCCATTCCCCACCTCGCTTCCCCCCATTCCCCACCTCGCTTCCCCCCATTCCCCACCTCGCTTCCCCCCATTCCCCACCTCGCTTCCCCCCATTCCCCACCTTGTTTCACCCTGGTCCGCACCATCCTCCCCCCTGTTCCCCACCTTCCTTCCCCCCATTCCTCACCATCCTTCCCCCTCTTCCCCACCATCCTTCCCCCACTTCCCCACCTTCCTTCCCGCCATTCCTCACCTTCCTTCCCCCCGTTCCCAACCTGGATTCCCCCCATTCCCCACCTTCCTTCCCCCCATTCCTCACCATCCTTCCCCCTCTTCCCCACCATCCTTCCCCCACTTCCCCACCTTCCTTCCCGCCATTCCTCACCTTCCTTCCCCCCGTTCCCAACCTGGATTCCCCCCATTCTCCACCTTCCTTCCCCCCATTCCCCACCTCGCTTCCCCCCATTCCCCACCTCGCTTCCCCCCATTCCCCACCTTGTTTCCCCCTGGTCCGCACCATCCTCCCCCCTGTTCCCCACCTTCCTTCTCCCCATTCCTCACCATCCTTCCCCCTCTTCCTCACCATCCTTCCCTCATTTCCCCACCTTCCTCCCCCCAATTCCTCACCTTCCTTTCCCCCATTCCCGACCTTCCTTCGCCCCATTCCCCACCTCGCTTCCCCCCATTCCCCACCTCGCTTCCCCCCATTCCCCACCTCGCTTCCCCCCATTCCCCACCTCGCTTCCCCCCATTCCCCACCTCGCTTCCCCCCATTCCCCACCTTGTTTCCCCCTGGTCCGCACCATCCTCCCCCTTGTTCCCCACCTTTCTTCTCCCCATTCCTCACCATCCTTCCCCCTCTTCCCCACCATCCTTCCTTCATTTCCCCACCTTCCTCCCCCCCATTCCTCACCTTCCTTCCCCCCATTCCCGACCTTCCTTCGCCCCATTCCCCACCTCGCTTCCCCCCATTCCCCACCTCGCTTCCCCCCATTCCCCACCTTGTTTCCCCCTGGTCCGCACCATCCTCCCCCCTGTTCCCCACCTTCCTTCCCCCCATTCCTCACCATCCTTCCCCCTCTTCCCCACCATCCTTCCCCCACTTCCCCACCTTCCTTCCCGCCATTCCTCACCTTCCTTCCCCCCGTTCCCAACCTGGATTCTCCCCATTCTCCACCTTCCTTCCCCCCATTCCCCACCTCGCTTCCCCCCATTCCCCACCTCGCTTCCCCCCAGAGTGGGAGAGGTCTCCGGGTGAGAGACACGGGGCCAGAGGTTGAGTTGCTCAGTAGCGTATCGGACCGCAAACGACCACAGAAAATGGGGAGCAGCCGCATGGACGATGGAGGTGCAAGCAACCTCCATCACCAAGCCAATGCGGTGCTCTGCATCCCATTCTGCTGTGGAGAGGCCGGAGGGATGAACATCTGGCGGATGCCCTCAGCACCACAGAACTCCTCGAGGAAACCGGAGGAAAACACACCACCTCGGTCAGAGTGCAGTCGCAGGACCGGTAGGTCCTGCTGAAACCGAGCCCTGAGCTGGTGACGGACAGCACGGATCTAGCGGATCAGAACACTGTGGACCTCCGCCTTGCTCTGCAAGGGGAAGACCGTGGTGTAGCGCGTGTAGTCGTCTACAACCAGCAAGAAGTTGCGCTCTCCGCCCTGTCCAGGGACTCGGGCTGGATCCCACACGTCCATGTGGAGGGTCAGCAGAGGAGCTGTGGTCGGAGGAAACGAGGAGGAGTGAGGAGCGGCGCGCTGCTGCCCCTCAACGCAGGGAAGACACGGCGGCGCAAGTAACCTCGGGAGCGAGGGCAGGGACCTGGGAAGCCCAGAGACAAGGAGACGGGAGTACATGCCTCGAAGGCATGGCAAGGAGGGGTGGCCAAGACGGTGGTGCCAAAGGAGAGTCTGGTGCGTGAGGAGACAACACGAGCAAGACGCAGCGACCTCAACTGACGTAGCTACATGACCTGACTCAGCTGCCAGTGCAGACTCAGTGGTCAGTGTGTATAGGCCAGACCCAGGCCTCTGAGTGAACGTGGCGAGGTGCTCACCAGTGCGCGGGTCCGTACAGATCACCACTAGCTCGCCTCCAGGATGGGTGACAGCGACCCACTGGTCCTGGAGGACACAGGTAGCCACCAAGTTCTTAGCGAACGAGGGGAGGTGGAGACCTGTGAGGAGGCCGGAAGGGGCCGCTGGACAAGGGAGAACAGTGGCGCCATGCGCGACTACCGGGCCCACGGAGGGGTCGGCCAGTGTGACAGGGACAGGGACTGTGAGCGGTGTGACTGTGGTGCTGTCGCGGAAGAAGCAACGAGATGCGCCTGAGTCGAGAGTAAAAGTGTGCAGGGCTTCCTCAGGCTCTGCCTCTGTGCTAGCTGAGTCACACGCACGAAGACTAGTAGCCTCTACGTCACCAGGTGCCTCTACACCCCCAGTACGAGTACCTCAAAAACCTCCGCCACCGGGGCTGCCCCATCGGACAGCCCACTCACGAAGCTGCTACGGGGAGAGAGTCTCCAGCGGACGCTGCTGCTGCTGCTGTCCACCCCCAAAACCTCCGGGTCTACTAGCGGCACTACGAGCAGGAGTAGACTCACAGGTTCCTCCAGTAGTAGCACCCCTCCGGACAGTCCACTCACGACGCTGGTGTGGCAAAAGTGGCTTCCGCCGATGAGCACGGCTAGCTCCACCACCGGGGCTGCCCCACCAGATAGCCCACTCGCGAAGCTGCTGCAGCAAGAGAGACTCCTGCTACTTGGCTGCCGCTGACGTGTGACAGTGATAGTGGCCATGGTAGGCAGTGTCAGTCAGCAGCAGCAGCAAGGTGGAAAGTAGCTACTGCAGTGGCGGGAGCTCGAACGGTAGGTGTAGTGGCAGCAGTGGTTGGAGCAGTAGCGGTAGCAACTGTAGAAGCGTGCGTAGGCGGTAGCGGCAGTCGGCGGTACGCGCGGGGTAGTGTAGGAGCGCGCAGGTAGCGCGAGCACGCAAGGCAGGTTGCGTGGAGCAGGCAGGGCAGGGCGCTGGCGCGGGCAGGGCAGGGCGCTGGCGCGGGCAGGGCAGGGCACCAGCGCGTGCACGGCAGGGTGCTGTTGCGTTGGCAGGGCAGGGCGCTGGCGCGGGCAGGGCAGGGCGCTAGTGCGTTCAGGGCAGGGCGCTGGCGCGGGCAGGGCAGGGCACTAGCGCGCTCAGGGCAGGGCGCTGGCACGTGGCGCAGGCAGGGCAGGGCGCTGGTGCGTGGCGCAGGCAGGGCAGGGCGCGTGGCGCAGGCAGAGCGCGCGCGGGCAGGGCGGCGCTGGGCAGCAGTAGGGTGCGATGCGCAGGCTGCAGGGCGCGATGCACGGGCAGCAGTGGGGCGCAACGCGTGGGCTGCAGCAAGGCGCGATGCGAGGGGCAGCAGGGCGCAACGCGCAGGCTGCAGGAGGGCGCGACGTGCGGGCTGCAGCAGGGCTCGACGTGCGGGCAGGCTTGGCACTAGCGCGCTGGCAGGGCAGGGCGCATGGCGCAGGAAGGGCAGGGTGCGTGGCGCGCTGGCAGGGCAGGGCGCGTGGCGCAGGCAGGGCAGGGCGCTGGCGCGGGCAGAGTAGGGCGCTAGCGCGCACAGGGCAGGGCGCTGGTGTGTGGCGCAGGCAGGGCAGGGCGCGTGGCGCGCTGGCAGGGCAGGGTGCGTGGCGCAGGCAGGGCAGGGCGGTGGCGCGGGTAGGGCAGGGCGCTACCGCGCGCAGGGCAGGGCGCTGGCGCGTGGCGCAGGGAGGGCAGGGCGCGTGGCGCGGTGGCAGGGCAGGGCGCTTGGCGCACGTATGGCAGGGCGCGTGGCGCGCCGGCAGGGCAGGAAAAAAAACGTTTACAAGGCTGGGCAGGGCGGAACATTCGGTGGGCCCTAGAGAACGAACCTACTCTAATACCATGTTAGAATAAGGAAACAGGAATGAATGACTAAAGCAGGATGAGTGGTACAAGTAGCAACCCTAACAAAGGGTTATATCCCATATGGATAACCCACTACAGCCTAACATTACTAACATGATACAAAAATGTCTTGGCAGCATGTGACTATCCAACATCACACCTAAAAGATATAATTTCTACGCAACAAAGCACCGATGCATACTTTTTACGCATTTGCCACGGTAGACCACCATTATCTCATTTGTTTCAGTCTCGAGTTCAAATACAGCGGTGTACAGATCCTAGCTTACAATAGTTGACCACAAACTTGAGAGAAGAAAGAGTCTCATGAACATGAATTTCTGTTACACACCGTGAGTACTGAATGAAAACTTCGAGGTTGATGCACATGTATCAGTGGTGGACCACTTGCTTGATTGGGGGTGTCACATTTTTTTGTGAGTCATGGGGTGTGTCAGTTTGGAGCCGCAGGTGGTCAGCCAACATGTGTCAAGGTTTGGACATTAAGGTTTGGACAGCTGAATGTATATCATTACTTTCGTGTGACATCGTAATATTTGTCAGATTTGAATGGAACGCTCGTAATGCTCTTGTAACATGCAAGGACAGAAACATTGGGGGCAGTGCTCTCCTGGAACTCCAATAAATAGGGTATAGTATATCACGTTCTTCCAATAAACACCTCTACCCGCATAAGCCCAGGGGGCTATAGTATATCACGTTTCAGTCCGCATAGCGCGAACACATATCGAGTTTCCCTCTATTTCTATTCCTGACCTGGCACGCGCCAATAAGTTCGACGGTGCCGCTCCAAAAATTACCCTTCGTGCCAATTCCGAACGGTTATGATGAGGCCGTTCGAAAAGATCGACCACGAGCCATACCGAGCTCACGCTTTCACCGAACGGTAGCTTGCCAAATGTGCCTCTCTTTCGAGGCGCGAACATCCTCTTGGACCAAACTGTTCAGAATGTGAGTAACGGAACTCATGGTTCGAATGCATCGCTGGTCTCGCCACCAGCGCAGCTCAAAATTCGCGAGCGGGTAACACACCCTCGTCGCTCCCCACTCTCGAAACTAACTCTGCAGGAATGATGGCATTGAGCGGAATGAGGAGAACAAGTATGAAACCCTAACGGGTTGTACTCACTAGAGTATGCCCCACTACAGCCTAGAGACATATAAACATGATTTTGACACACCTCCATAGGCAAACTGGGGGATAGCAAACACAACGTATGGTCACAAGACCAATCAAGCAAGAGAACAAAGCAAAGCAAAGCTTAGACTAAATCTCAGCATCACCACGAAATCTAAGCACAAGCAAGCGGCCACAAGGCAAGTTCATATGCAGAGTTATAAAAGCACAAGCAATACAAGGACCACAACCGAGAAAGAACAAGCATGCAAGTATATATATAGATCAGACTAAAATGCAAAGTCAAGCAACCAGAAGGCGAGGCAGAGTGGGCAGGAGCCCAAGAGCAGTGCAGAAATGCTGATGATCACCAGACCCAAGGGCCTTGATGAAGACATCAGTAGTGTGGCCTAAGAGGCCACATAGGAAAGGCAAAGCTGACCACGCTGCTGCAGCTCTCGAGCAAGAAAGTAGCGAAGAGCAATGTGTTTCGTTCTGTGCTCTAGTCTCTGCTCGTGACACAAGGAAAGCATGGCCTTGTTGACGACGTACAGAACTGGAGGAGAACGAGGCCGCTCGCCCAAGTCAGTCAGCTGGTACGTCAGCCAGCGGAGCTCCTGTGCAGCCATAGCCCCAGCGTAGTTCTCGGCCTCACAGCTGGAACCAATCACAGAAGACGAACGAGTGGACCTCCACGAAACAGAACCAGAGCCAAGACTGAAGGTGTAACCCTGTGACGACCGCTGAGTCGCCTGGTCGTCGGCCCACGAAGCGTCTGATGACCTGTGAGTACCACTTAGTCCCATCCTCCAAGCACAAGCCCCATGGCCGAGTAACGCAGTACCCTCTTAGCAGCTTTCGTTGTCTACCAGAAGCCATGTAGTGAACCAGAAGGCTGAGAGGGTACACGAGGTCAGGTCGTGTGCACGTCATCAGGTACATGAGGCAACCGACAAGCTCTGGATACTGACCACTCGGCTCTACGGACTCGTTCGATGTTGGAGCTGAGAGCGAGTGGCCTGTGGGCAGAGGAGTGGGCTATGGCGAGAAGAAGGTGAAGCAGAAGCACTGAAGGACCTGCTGCACCATGTGCGACTCAATCAGAGTGATGATGCACCGTGCATTGTCCCGGGTGATCTACAAGCCAAGGTAGCTGCGCAGCACACCCAGGTCAGTGCAAGTGTGTCTCTTCTGCAGCTCTGCCTTCACAAGGGCTAGTGCCTCAGTCTCAGCAGTAGCAAAGACCAAGTCGTCGACGTACCCGATGATGTAGAACGGCGGCAGAGAAGTGTCGGTGCGAAGAAACAGCGAAGGGTTAGCAGTCGAAGAAGCAAACCTAAGAGCCGCAAGTGTCATCCTCAGTGT